AAAAAAAAAAAAAAAAAAAGACAAATCTATGCTATGAAGTTATTGTGAAAGGACTATAACATATCTTCCTGTATAAATTGTATTCAGCACAAAGTTAAATAAAATGGTGAATAAAGATGGCAAGCCACAATACATTTTATATTGTTTTGGAATTTCTAAATTATGTCAAGACCAAAACATTTTATTTATTTATTTTTTGAGTTGGAGTCTCACTCTGTCGCCCAGGCTGGAGGGCAGTGGCATGCTCACAAGCCACCCCAGTGACGGCCCATTGGGTTCCGGCCATCCTTCTGCCTCAGCCTCCCAAGCAGCCGGAACTATAGGCACGCGCTACCACGTCTGCCTAATTTTTTTATTTATTTGTAGAGACAACATCTCACCAAGTTGCCAGGGCTGGTCTCGAACTGGGGGCTCAGGCAATCTACTCACCTCGGCCTGCCAAAGTGCTGGAATTATAGGCTGAGCCACCGAGCTGGGCCAGTCTTTAATCTTTAAATATGTCCCTAAGCAACCAATCTAAATACATATTGTGATTCTTACTTTCTTTCTTTTTTTCTGAGTTGGAGTCTTACTCCGTCACCCAGGCTGGAGTGCTGTGGCCCACGGCCATCCCAGTGTCGACCTGCCGGGCTCTGGCAATCCTTCTAGCTCAGTCTTTCAAGTAGCCAGAACTACAGGCACATACTACCACACCTGTTAATTTTTGATTTATTGTAGAGATAAGGTCTCACCAAGTTGCCCAGGTTGGTGTAGAGACCCTGGACTCAAGTAATCTACTCGCCACAGCCTCCCAAAGTGCTGGGATTATAGGCTGAGCCACCGAGCCCAGCCTGAGTCTTACTTTCAAAGGGCCAAATGAAGGGCTCAGTAGTGTGGCATTACAAATTTCTGTGAAAATCTATTTCTCTAAGAAGCCTGTTAAGGCCAAGAGAAGCATATAAAAAACCAAGTACCCTATAAAAGAAAACCCTCTCCATGATAAGAGACTCTGGATTCTTATATATTACTGAGACTTTAAAATAAAGCAATTTCACAGCAATGATATTTTAACCAGAATAGGTTGATAAGGATTAACTGGGCACAACACTGATGTTACACTGTAATAATGCTGTCTCTGATGACGCATAGTAAAATTTAGTGGCAAATAAAATCACTCCATTCTGTCTTTTTTTACTTCTTGTTTTCTTTCTCTCCCAGGTGTGTACTTCAGCATCTAAAACCCAATAAAGCAGGAATGTACACGCGATCAGCCTTCCTTACCGTTTTTCTGTCTTTACTGTGAAATTGGTAAATTTTAAAGTTTCCCTTTTTTTTGAGTTGACATTTCACTCTGTCACCCAGGCTGGAATGCAATGGTATGCTTATGGCCACCACAGTCTCAACCTGCTGGGCTCAGGGATCCTTCCACCTCAGACTTCCAAGTAGCTGGAGCATGCCACCATGCCTGGCTAATCTTTTCATTTATTGTAGAGTCAAGATCTCCTCATGTTTAGCAGGCTGGTCTGGAACCCACCGGCTCAGGTAATCCTCTCACCTCCTCTTCCCAAAATGCTTGGATTACAGGCGTGAACAACCACACCCAACGAATTTTAAATTTTCTTTATAAAGACTTGTTCCTAAATATACATAATAATAGGCAGTTTCAGTTCCTGAAAGCAGAATTTTTTTTTTTTTTTTTTTGTGTTGGAGTTTCACTCCGTCGCCCAGACTGGAGCGCAGTGGCCGCTCCCAGCCACCTCAGCCTTGACCCACTCGGCTCTGGTGATCCTTCCACCTCAGCCTTCTGAGTAGCCGGAATTACAGGTGCTACCACGCCCGGCTGATTTTTGATTTATTGTAGAGATGAGGTCTCGCTGCCCAGGCGGATCCTGAACCCGCGGGCTCAGGCAATCCACTCACTTCAGCCTCCCAAAGGCGCGGGATTACAGGCTGAGCCACCAAGCCTGGCTCAGAATTTTTACTATTACTTTATTTTTCCCTAATTTATTATAGGGTATATGACAAAAAACCTTATCTAGAATAATCCCAAATCTCAAAGATTTTTAACATGGTCTTTAATTTAGCCTTAGAATTAAGTCAGTATCATCCAAGAAATTTACAAAATTTTCATCTGACAAGGAACTAATATCCAGAATATACCAGGAAACCAAATAACTCAATGTCAAAAAATAATAACCCTATTAAAAGGTGGACAAAGGATCTAAATAGTCATTTCTCAAAAGAAGACATACAAATGGTAAAGAGGTATACAAAAAACTCCTCAACATCACTAATCATTATGAAACACCAATCAAAACCACAATAAGATGCAGCCATAGAGAAGGACAAAAGTATGGACTTTTCAGCAAACTGGATGGATTTAGAGTCCATCATATTCAGTGACCTTCACAGAACTGAATCACAGAAACAAAGCACTGAATACCACATGTTCTCAATCATAAACGGATCCTGAACATTTATCGCAATACTAAAAGAGAGGGATTGGCAGGAGAGGGACACTGAAGCGGGGGGAAGACACATCTAACATCACTAAAGGTACCTGATCCTAAACCAGAGGAAGTGAGAAAGAGCTGGAGGCCCAAATTTCACCTGCATGTAGACTACTTATGTACCTAATCGTGACTTATAACCCAAGTCTTTATCTTTTATTTTTTTGAGTCGGAGTCTCACCGTCACCCAGGCTGGAATGCAGTAGCATGCTCACAGCCACTTTGACCTGCTGGGCTCAGACAATCCTTCCACCTCAGTCTTCCAAGTAGCCAGAACCATGGGCATGCACCACCACACCCAACTAACTTTTTGATTTATTGTAGAGATGAGGTCTCACCAAGTTGCCCAGGTTGGTCTCAAACCTCTGGGCTCAGGCAGTCCTCTCACCTCTGCCTCTCAAAGTGCTGGAATTACAGGCAAGAGCCACCATGCCTGGCTTTCCCCACATCTTTATAATAAAATAAAGTAAAAAAAGAAAAAACACAATAAGGCATAACTTTAACCCAGTTGGAATGGGTATTATCAAAAAGACAAGAAATAACATGCTGGTGAGGATGCGGAGAAAGAGAACTCTAAAACAGTACTGGTAGGAATGTAAATTAGTATGGCTATTATGGAAAACTGTATGAAGAATTCTCAAAAAAATGAAAACTAAAACTACCATATCCAGCAATTCCACTACTGCAAGTCAGTGTATCAAAGGGATACATGCACCCCCTGGTTAGTACAACACTACTCACAATAGCAAAGGTAAGGAATTAACTTAAGGGTCTATCAGTGTATAAATAGATAAAGAAAATGTAGTATATTTATATAATGGGATACTATCAGGCTTTAAAAAAGAATGAAATCATGTCATCTGCAGCAACATCTGTCCTGGAGGACATAATGTTAACTGAAATAAACCAGACACAGAAAGACAAATATCATATGTATTCACACATATATGGGAGCTAAAAAAGTTATCTCATAGAGGTAGAGAGTGGAATAATACTTATCAGAGGCTGGGAAGGTGGTGAGAGTGGAGGGAGGGATAAAGCGAGGTTGGCTAATGGGTAAAACCATTGTTAGACAGAAAGAATAAATTCAAATACTTGCTACAGGAAGATGATTATAGTTAACAATGTATGGTATGTTTGAAAAAATCTAGAAGTATGGACTTGAAATGTTTAACATGTAGAAATGATAAATGCTTGTGGTGATGGATGATCTAAATACCCTTTACTTGATCATTATACATTCTATGCATGAAACAAAATATTACATGTACCCCATATAAATATGTACAGATATTATATATCAATTAAAAGGGGAAATTGCCACAGCCACCCCAACTTTCAGCAAATCACCACCATAAATGTCAAGGCAAGATGCTCCACAAGCAAAAAAAGCAATTAACTCACTGAAGGCTCAGGAGATCATTAGCATTTTTTAGCAATAAATTATTTTTTAAGTTAAGGTTTAAAAAAAACTATCACCTTGTACTCTGAATGCAAAACAATTACAATTTTCCAGTTAAAACTAACATGAAAAAAAAATTTAAACAGTATCATGTCAGTGAGACACATCTGTTAAAGTTCAACATAGGAAAATTTCTTTTTTCTTTCTTTTTTTTTTTTGAGTTGGAGTCTCACTCTGTCGCCCAGGCTGGAGTGCAGCCTCGACCTGCTGGGCTTCTGCTTCAGTCTTTCAAGTGGCTGGAACTATAGGCGTGCATCACCACACTCAGCTAATATTTTGATTTATTGTAGAGACAAGGTCTCGCCATGTTGGCCAAGTCTGTCTCGAACCCCTGGGCCTAGGCAATCCTCTTGCCTCCAACTCCCAAAGTCCTGGGATTACAGGTGTGAGCCACTGCGCCCAGCCCAGGAGAATTTCATAATGACTTTTGGTCAGAGGTTTATTAGTTTTAGATTATTCATAAAAAGAGCTTTCTCAGCTCATCTGAAAACAACCAACAGGTTTCTTCAAAACTATGTAATCCAAATAGTTTATTTATGAGCATCAGTAAACAAATAGCAAGATTTTAGACCAACCATTCTTTCAGAGCACACTGCCATCCCTAGTCAAAGCTCAGCAAAGCAATCACCTGCTTCTTCTTCTGAGGGAAAGCATTCCCTTCCCTCTTATTCCAGCTTACCTCTACCTCGGGCTCGCTTGCCACGATCTGAAGGTTTGTCCCCTTGATTGCAATCAATACCATTTTCTTCGACTCTGACTAAGGAAAAAAAAAAAAAAGAAGAAAAATCTGCTTTTTGTTTCCAAACCTCTGGTACATGACTTTACCTGATACCTATTAGAGGCAGGAAACGAATGACAAAAAAAGGGCAAAAATTTAAACAATGGATTTGGAAATAGGAAAAATAAAAACAAAAGTGGCTCAAAAACTGAAGGATATATTTTGCTTAACTCACAGGTGAAAATTCTGAAAAAAAATTTTTTTAAAAAACATTTATTTTTCTTTTGTCTATATGGCTTGGCTTGCTCCTAAAGTCAGATTTGTGCTTCAGAAAACCACCTGCCTCATACAACTATGCAATATACCACAGAATTTGCTGTGAGTTAAGTTCAAAGCCTGGTAAGGCACAGAATAGCAAAATAGCAATACAATGAAACAGTGGGTCCTCAGAAAAATTTAAGCATTAGACATGTTTTTTTTTTGGTTTTGTTTTGCATTTTTCCAAGTGACAGCATCTCCCTCTGTCACCCAGGCTGGAGTGCAATGGCATCATCATAACTCACTGTAACTCTGAACTCCTGGGCTTAAGCAATCCTCTCACATTAGCCTCCTGAATAGCTGGGACTACAAGAACATGCCACCACGTCTGGCTAATTTTTGAAATCTGTTTGTAGAGATGGGGTTTTGCTATGTTGCCCAGGCTGGTCTCAAACTCCTGACCTCAAGCAATTATCCAGCCTTGGCTTCCAAAAGTGCTGGGATTACAAACATGAGCCACTGCGCCTGGCCCATAGGTTTTTCTAGAATGCTATCCAGAGGATCCAATGCCCAGTCTTTTCTTTTTCTCATCCCTATATTGGCACTAATGCCTCTATATAATACAGAAATATTATGAGATACTGGCATGGCTTGCTTGCCTCACCGCTTTCCGGGCTCACATAAATTTTCAGTGACGCTATCAATGGCAATCCACCCAAACTTGCCAAATCTCTTCCCATGATTCTCATCTCTCTTTCTACCTTTATTTTTCCCCATAGCATAGTTACTAAAATTATGTATTAATAAAAATATTGTACTTCTCTTTTTTATCATTTCATCCCACTATACCTTCATTTAACGTTTTAGGAGGGCAAAGATTTTTATCTGTTGTATTCATTGCTATACACCTATAAGAGTACCCACTCTATGGCAAGTATGCAATAAATATCAGTGAAACAAATGAGCTAACAAAAGTCTCTAGGGTGATAAGTTAAATATTTATATTCTATTCATTCATAATTTAGCTACTTTGGTACATCTCTACAGCAGGGTTGTTTTGGGTAAACGGTGCCAAAACCTGGGTCTAATGGAAAGTATTAAGAAAATCTTGCCTATTCAACAACTTTCCCTTTAATCTAGCCCTTGTCTATACCATGAGTGCTCATAAATGGAGAGAAAAAAACAACATCTATTAAGCGAATGACCCCTCAGCACACACATACACACACACCTTTAAAATTAAAGAATGCACATGATTCATAACGGAAGGCAGTCATAAGACACACTACACAACTACTTACCTACAGTCCAGGTCAGTGCTGATCAGTGCTGCACCAAAGATTCTAATGAACCACTCAACTGCAGCTCATTACTAGTGCTGTTAGAACAAATTTTGCATTGAGGTAATGGATTTATGGGTATTCTTTGGTCTAGTCTTCCAGCTTTTCAGAATATGTAAAAACTTGTAAGAAAAGGTTGAGGACAAAGTCTGTACTTACACTCTCTGCCACGACTGCCAACTCTTCCTTTCCTGTTGTTTCCACGTCCACGACTTGCTTCTTTCTCACTTCTCTTCTCTCTATTCTCTTTGTTTTCTGAACTTTCTTTTCCAAAATTCTTCTTCTTCCCCCCTACAGTCTCCCATGAAGTCTATCAAAGAGAATAGCTGTTATTCAGACCTGTTATTTAAAGTATATACAATTATAGCCGGGCTCAGTGGCTCAGCTGTAATCCCGCATCTTTGGGAGGCTGAGGTGAGTGGACTGCCTGAGCCCGTGGCTTTGAGACCTGCCTGGGCAACTCGGTGAGACCTCATCTCTACAATAAATCAAAAAATTAGCTGGGTGTGGTAGTGCGCGCCTTTAGTTCCAGCTACTCGGAAGGCTGAGGCGGAAGGATCACCGGAGCCCAGCAGGTCAAGGCTGCAGGGGCCAGGAGCGGCCACTGCACTCTGGTCTGGGCAACAGAGTGAGACTTCAACTCAAAAAAAACCCCAAAAAACAAAAAAATAAAGTATATACAATTATCAAGGGTGCAAGCATGTATCTTTCAAACCTAACTACCTACAACTTACAGCCTATCTGCCTATTCTTTTCCATACAGTTTTACGTTCTTGACAATAAAGACAATAAGTTAAGCTTTTGTTCCCAAATAATTACTACTGTAAACTGATCTGACAACATACAGTATGTTTAGCTACCACAAAAACCTTCCTATGCAGATTTAGGAATAAAGTAAATGTTATTTCCCCAAGCTCCTATTCTACACCATCTTACCTACCTCTGTAGTAGGCCTGAGACTTACAAACAGGTGAATTTATTCAAAGACTACAAAATTACTTAGAATGATGCTCCAAAAGCTCTAGGAATACAAGTTTCCTAACAAATTATCCAAAGTAATCATCTAAAAAATATATAATAGTGGACAAGGAAAATCTGGGGTTTTTTTTTTTTTAAAGTAAATATCTAAAGTTGCAATCTCAAATAATTGTTCTAGGGAGAACTCAAATGATATATATATATATAAAACCTCCCTTCTCCACCAATCCCCTAACAATAATACCAAATCTATTCACATCTTATATATTTATAAAGTGCTGAGAAAAGAATGAGGCACTACATTACTGAATATAAAAATATTGATCAGGCCTGGTGGCTCATGTCTGTAATCCCAGCATTCTGGGAAATCAAGACAGGAGCATTGATTGAGCCCATGAGTTTGAGACCAGCCTGGTCAACATAGTAAACATCCAAAAATTAACTGGGTGTGGTTGTGCATGGCTGTAGTCCCAGCTACTCAGAAGGCTGAGGCAAAAGGATCCCCTGAGTCAAGCAGGTCGAGGTTATGGCTGCAGTGAACCATGATCATGCCACTGCAATCCAGCCTGGACCACAGAGTGAGACCCTGACCTAAAAAAAAAAAAAAAAAAAAAATTCAAGCAGGATATGCTACAGGAAAATACCAATATTGGTACATTAGTTTCAATTTGCTTTTTTTAAATCTACCTTATTTCACAAGACATTTGAAATGACTCAATTTCAAAATAAGAATAAAAACTATTTTAACCTTTAAAAAAAAATCTTACAAAAAGAGAAAATTACTAACATTGTAAATACCGATAAAACATAAGCACTGGAATTTAATTAGCTAAAATCCAAATTATATAGCTAAATTATATCCAAAATAGTGGAAGCCAGCTTCAGTACACATTTTGTTAGTGTATTTTTGGATTTCTGCAAACCGCTGGAGAACTCACATATTTAATTATATATAGAATGTAGAATGGATGTAAAAAAAAAACAAAAAAAAACAAAACACAAATTGCTGGGCGTGGGGGATGATGGCTCATACCTGTAATCCCAGCACTTTAGAAACAGAGGCGAAAGAAGTACCTGAGCCCAGGAGTTCGAGATCAGCCTGAGCAACTTGGCAAGACCTCGTCCCTACAAGAAATCAAGAAAAAATTAGCCAGGCATGGTGATAGATACCTGTAGTCCCAGCTATTTGGAAGGTTGGGGCAGAAGGATCGCCTTAGCCCAGCAGGTCAAATAAAAATACCAACAAATTAAAACAAGTTATTAGCTGGGCTCAGTGGCTCAGTCTGTAATCCCAGTGCTTTGGGAGGCTGAGGTGAGTGGATTGCCTGAGCC